TGGTCTCCATTCTTTCGTGTGTTCAGGGTGCCTGTCAACCGCGGCGTCCCTGAGGTCTTTTCGTGGGTCATTTGGAAGCTGGCATTGCTGAAGGAGACCACCCAGCCGCCGGGGAAGTTTTTACGTTCCAAACCCCGAGGAGACCGTGCTTCATTTATGGCACACTTACAGAGACGGTCCGCAACACCATCGCTCGGCAGAGACCCTCTCGAAGACCCGGAAACAGGGCTTTCGAACATCGGCCGAAGTAACCAACGTCAACGAGTATTCGTCTTCCTCTTTCTCCAACATCAAACGAAGCTGCTGCTGTGGCGGCATGAACCTCCATGCCAATGACAGTGGCTGTTAGACCTCATCTTTATCGAAGCCAGCAGCCACCATCGATCATGCGAGGATCCGGCCGGTGACGCAACTCCGTCACGTCACCGCGGCTATAAAAGGGAGACCGGCGGACACGCGCGGCGGAGAGAGAATGGGGCTTATGATCAGACGCTACTATCATCTACTCCTGTCTAATTAAAGCAACGTCATCCTTTAACAGTTTCTGTCAAATTTGTTATCCCGGCGTGGGGCAATGAAGCAAAGATGACTGTACTTCCCGGTCAGCAATGTTCGCTTAGAACTCACCATAGCTAACTAGACGGATTTACACCAAGGTCAGCATTGATCCGAACACTTCGATTAATAGGAATTGGGTATCTTTCAGTCTTTAAAATAAAATGGCAAATTAAACCCAAAAATAAGGTTGGGTTACATTTCTAGGGTGGGTAATTTCCTGGGATTTTACGGCAGGAGCAACAACAACCAGCAAGAATGCAATAACTTACCACGCAGACGCGGCGATGACCACAGACAAAACCGGGATGGTGGTCATCGACACAACCACCGGAAACATCTTTGCACACAGTACACCGAGGGATCTTCCACCAAAAGAAGCTGAACTTCGAGCAGTACTCCAGGCGGTCACCACGGCAGGCAAGGAGAAGAATTGCCCTATACACACGGACTCGAAAGTTGCCATACGAAGAGCTACGGAGAACCGCAACAAACAATGCTCCAGGATTTTTGCTGTGGGCCTCCGTTTAAAGAAACGCCAAGAAACATCCAGGCTACACAATCATTAAATGAATTCCGGGATACCAAAACAAATTCAGAAATGAAACCGCGCACGCCGTAGCACAGGACACCCTCTCTCTTCATTTCCCAAACACTGGAAAAGACGATGCCAAAAACTGCGCGGCCACCCCAGAAAAACACAGCACGCAAGACTTGCAAGACCTCTAGAAACTCAAGAGGAAAATGCGACTTGCGGACATGATCCCGATTGACACACACCGTCGTCCAGAAGGAGATTACTCCAGATGGGGCTGGATATACGTCAGGAGACTGCGATCCGGGACAGCCATGGTTCTAACTAAAATAGCACCCTGCCTCGCACAAGGATAAGTGACAACAAAGAGAACAACCATATCAAAAACTCGGTCTGACTCCACCGGACGAGCCACCAGAGAGCCAAAAGGAGGGAAACTGCAGACAGTGCAAAGTCCCCCCATCTGCAAAACACCTCCTCTGGGAGTGCCAACTCACCTCACCCAAGCGCTAGGAGATCCTTAGCAAGATCTCGCCTGCCAGCAGACCGACGTACTAGGGCGACTGGGGGGAACCGCATGGCTCACCCCAACAGAGAAAAGCAATACTGGACATTGGCATACCTAGTTGTCCTTGAGTGAGGGGGCAAACCAACCCTCCCCCCCTTCCCCTAGGGCCGGGGGGCGGTGCCCTTGGTATCCCTTAAGCGCCGACGGCCAGTGTTTGCCCTGCCCAGTGGCGGCTGTTTCAGGGGAGGGGGGGGGGGGGGGGACAAACGCCTTGCCCCCCCCGCACACACACACAGACACTCTGAGAACTGGAAGGGCAAGCGCCCCCTTTGCCCCCGCCCCCCCCGGTTGGTACGCACATGCTACTGGACACTCTTCTACACTTCGTGAAGCAAGACAATCTTATACAACAGATCTAACCCATTATCATCTCCTTTTCTTCACGAAGAGGAGCCCCGGTCTTTTTGCAATCTCCTAGAGGTAATAAAGGAATTTAAAGTAAGAAGGTATAATGGATATAACCTGAGACTTGGTCAGAAGCAAACTTTTTCGACAGCGGTAGAAAACCCGAAACAGGAAAAGTCAACGTCTCAAACTCAGATAAAGATTTTATTTGATCACCCCCCTATATGCCCACATACACCACGCCACAAACCTGCAAAACATCCCGTTTTTCAAGGACACGCTAACAGCACATACCCACATAAAAAAAAACAAAAATACTACAAAGCAGAACCAACTTAAGGTTGCACAATAACTAGTCTGCTTTTGAATATCCTTGCATGCAATACGGCGCGCGTTGCATTATGAATTCTGGTTGGCAACTGAGAGAAATGACATGGTTTCGGTTTCAATTGCCTCGTTAACGAAATAATGCATCTCAGCACTGGATGAATATAAAGTCAGCGCTTGCTTGCATTGCACCCCTTCATCTTCTTGAGAGCCCTTCTTAAACATGGACCTACCGCAGCCGTAAGGATCTGCTTAGGCGTAGCTAGGAGTTGGAATACGGCTGGCCTCGTCCCTCAGCTTTCTGGCCGGCATGCTACAACTCCAGAGACCAGCATGACCCTCCGGGCTCACGGATATTTTAAGAAGCTTAGTACATTGATTATACCATGGAGGAAGATGACCGGCACAGTATACTTCTACCATGTGCCGTCGTAATCCTGCACTTCCCTGCGCACAAACTCTGGCACGTCGGAAGCCCCAAAAAGCAGCCCCTGCATTCTATCTGTATTGAGAGTCAACACCTACAGTATTATAAGATTAAAAAGATACTGAACCAAAATTTTGAGGTCACAAAACAAGGCTGGACGGATAGGCGGGACGCTAAAAAACCTCAAAAACATTACTCATGCAGCGATATCTTCAACGGATCGCCGTATTTTTTAGAAAAGAAGTGCGCGATTGAACACGGCCGACGAGGCCGACCAGACAAATCACGTCACCATTCTCATTCCCTCTCCTCCTCGCTACGACCAGTCGAGCTGGTGAACCGAAGCGAGGAGAAGAGAAGCGAGGCCGCTTCCCCTCATTCTCAAATTTTCCAGGAGGACAGTAACATCATAGCCCTCGCTTGACGTCGCCGCGTTTTTTCCAAATGTACGGCCATTTGTCTGAGATATCAATGTATGAGTGATGTTTTGAAGTTTGTAGCGTCCCGTTCAACGCATCTGCGGCCTAAGTTTGTGAAATTCAGATTTCGGTTCAGTACCCTTTAAAGAGAGTAACATATTCCAAAATGCAAGCACTGTATTTTGTCGTGACGGGATTTCCAGAAGCGAGGTTTGCAAATCGAAATCGAAAATTAGTGGCCAATGAGTTCCCAAGATAATTTGCACCGGATAAGGCCGCTAGAGTCGCTTCCCTTTTGCACGAGCTCTGTTAATTTCATTTCATGGTTCATTTAAATATGACATTAAGAGACAAAAACAAATTGGATAATGTGTGGGAGCCGCCCGCTCAATTTCTCTGATTAGGCCCTATGGGCGCAGCAAAAGCATTCCGAGCTGTCCAACTGCTAGCCGGAGCGCCCCGTTTCATGCCTCGGAGGAGCAGCCATCTTGCCTGCTTACTCTCGCATCGCATGCCTCCACCCCGTGCCCTCCCCCACTTTGCGGGGAGACGCGAAAAGTCCCCCTGGTGATTGGACCTCTTTGGGTACGAGGCTGAGGCCGCCAGCAGAGAGAGAGAGAAAGAGACAGGGGGGGGGGGGGGGGGCTTGCGCCCCCCTCTGGGGGTACTGCTCGCGGGGACATCAAACTGTTCGGATGCGTGGCCCGACCCCCCCTGTCGGCCCACCTGCGTGCCCACTCTCAGGAAGGCACGGCAAGCTGAGGTCTGTTCCTGCCTTGTCGCCCTTAGCGTGTTCTTATCTGTATATGTTGACACGTAAAATAAACACCCGATTATCCCTTGCCTTCGGCGTGTCCGTGTGTCCCGGCTAGTGGTTGCAGCCGAGAATCGAACCCGCCGCAGCGCTTAGCATGATACGCTACGGAGTGGTACGTTGACTGGTCGGCCTCCTTGCCGGAGGCCCTCACCCCTTTGAGACCTCCACAAATGTCATCGTTGGTTGGCAAGAATCATGAGTGGCGAAAACAGAACCGCTCCACAAAATCATTTTTTGCAGTGTTTTGCCTTTTCGATAACGTGATAAGGCGTCAGCAAGAAAAGTTAGTTAACGACGTCGTACTTAGCAGCATTATAGAGATCGAAGCCCCGTACGTGTAGCCGGCGCTAGGACTTGGTAGTGGAAGCAGGCATATTGATAAACTTCCTTTCCCCTCCGTTCCCCGTTTTGGCATGTTGCATACGCCGATGTAACGTCTGGCAATTAAAGTTTACGCTTAATAATATTTTCTAGAAATAAACTTGGTTTTGCAAGTATTTGTTCTGGTAATGCTGCACATTCCGAATTTTGTTAAAAAATATGGTTGAGAATAGTTATGCAAAAACTGGTATCTTGTATTCCTTTTCATTGTCTCTAAAATCTTTCGGAGAGTAGCTTCCAAATATTTACATTTGTCTTCCCAATGGGACTCAAAGTGTTTTTTTTTAGTTCTTGGGATAATAACCTAATGAAACAACTACGCACCTTCAGCGTCTTGGGAATTACTAAATTACGATCAAGCGTGGTCTATTTCCGTACCAAAATTGCTACAAAATATCCCGACAGGCAGATGATCGTAATTGTTGGCTTATTCGGACACCTAAGACGTGTACATTGACTTTGCGCCATAAGACAAACCCAGAATACTATTTAGTTCTTCTCCAACTCTGGTTCCAGTTACCCAAATTAATAGGCTCGCTTTTTTTTTCTTTTGTGTTTTGAGAGCAGAGGCGTTCATTATCCTTATCATGTCAGTATATCTAATTGAATGTGCCATGTTTTTTTAGGTTCGCAAAACGCTACTGCAGTGGACATGTTACTAGTGGATTCGAAGGTAAATATTATTTTATAGTTGGATAATGTCGCAAAACGTAATTGGTCTTATCGCCGCATGATATGTAAACGTATCATGTGCAGGATGCGACCGCAAAGACTAACAGATTTGGCACGGCTTGCCCAATTTTCGAATTCTAAACTTACTTACCTGAAATCGGGCACGGGAATGAAGTTTCACCCGAAGTTTGATCTAGTTTTAGGGCGGAAGTTTGAGGTAGTGAAATAATATAAAGCAAAATTGGAGACCACGTATTTCGTTTATCCTTTCCTGTCAGCACACTGGTCTACGAGCCGGCATCCGGGTGGCTTGCTGAACGCAAAAAAGCTAAAACACAAAAGCAGTGGCTGGCGATGTGGAAGATAATTGCGATAATCATTACGTTTGAAGCAATATATGAACAATAACCATCTCTGTGCATGCTCACAAACCAATGTGCAAACGACAAACATCCGGTATGTGGCACAGGAAATGCGAGGCAGTTGTTTTCGCTCAATTTCATATATTTTACTCTATCTGACCAAACTCTGAAAAAAGTATGCATAAAACTTCTTGCAAAACTTGAATTGTGTGCCCAATTTCAGGTATGTACTTTTTCGATTTCGAAGTTTGCAAGGCGGGTCAAATTTGTTAGTCCTTACAGCCGCACCCTGTATATCGGATGTATTTGCTGTGCCCATTATATCTCTTTACTTTACCCGAAACCGAAATTGAATAAAATCATTGCATAACGCCATAAGAAGCCAATCTATGAGTAGATGGTTCTAATTTGAATTAGCTGAGAGTAATCGCATTCTAGTATGCGCTCAATAAGGCTGAAGTGTTTTACTGATAGTTTATTACATATGCGCTAAATAAAACAGATTTGGATTTGTAAACCTCTTTATTACTTGATACTTCCAGGTCCCTACTACTCGAAAAATGTCAACATCAATGGCCACATCTGTCAGCTCGTGATACTGGTACGTTTCATTAATAAGCTTTGCCGCGGTTTATTTGTAATATTAAGGAACTCTAAATTTTGGAATACTGCCCGACTCAGCCCACAGAAGTAAATATTGGAACTCCTATTTGATGTAGCCGTTCTATCACGTTTATTCCACTGAAATAATTACGGGAGGATACTGTAATTCTACTCATTTCTTGTCAATCGCTCGTCTTGGGTCTTTTTATGTCAAGCTTTCGGGGAAATTGAAGATTAAATGCTACTAGAACGAGGACCAGGGTCAATAGCAGGCATATTCACAAAGCATGGTCTTTCCTTTGGAGTACACAGTGCAATTCACATATAACTATACCATATACATGATGTACCGCTTATCAAAATCAGTTTCTAGAGAACCGTGTATCTTTGCGCTGGTTGTATGTACAAATAAGCCCTATATAGCGCTGGAATATGTTATATATATCGGCTACAACGATCACAAATGCGCTAATATGAAACACAAAAAACAAATCATAAAAAAATAGTAAATATACAATAAAAGAACCGCCGAACTAACGACATCCATCCTGCCACTCGCGTGCACCACACCAAGGTGTCCGAGGTCCCGAAGCGGCTTCGGGATGTCGGAGGCCATGGCCACATGGACGCGTATCGAAATTCACTGCGAGTAGTCTATGTCCGCGGCCTGAAACCGACTGATATCATCGTCATTGGCGCCAGTTGTCACCTTTTAAAGATGGTGCCGACAAAATGCATGCCGTGAAAACGCAAGTATCGGCAGTTTCGGTGGAGGTGAACATAGTATACTGAAACAGTCGCTAATAGTTTTAGACGAGCCTAAAGCCTCGTCCAAATTTATTAGCTCTTCCAGTGCGCCACCTTTACCGCCCGTGGCAACACCGAGGGCCCCCGACTTTGATTGCGCTGGTGCCGTTGACGAAGGCGGCCAGAGCGACGGCGAAGTCGACGAGAGAATTTACGAAGATGTCAACACATCATCTGTGCCATCATCGATGATGTCTCCAATTTATGTCCAAGGTGTTTCCGTCGTGATTCAGCTACTTTTCGACTTTATACGTGAAATAAGACTACTGGCGGCATAGCGTAGATACTGGATACATAGCGCATCACAATTAATCAATCAATTAAAGTTTATTTGGACATAAATACGACGTACAAATGTCCGCGAGGTGATGCTAAAGGAGACAAACCTGTCTTCTGACGAGACCATCACCACGAGTTTGTACATCAGACAGCAACATCTGTTAATAAAAACATTTACCAATACAGTTTCATATTTACTTACCACAAGCACAGTGTAATCGGTGCCGTCAGCTGAATTAATGAACGTTAAGAAAGGAATCAAAACACATAAGATAGTTTCTTTAACGTTACAGAAAGAAAATGAGTGACCATTGTCGAGTTACTTTTGAATTATTCTGATTGATTTTAGCAGGCAGTAGACAAGAGAAGGAACTTCATACTTGTTGTTTTTCACTGGTAGATGGTTCTATTTCTTTGAGCACATTCAATTAAGGAAGGGTGCTGCCGTGTATTGTGTGCGTGCCGTGTATTGTGTGCGTGTTCGCTGTGCGTGGCGAACACGCACACAATACACGTCACGGACACAATACACGGCAATATCTCCCCCTTAAAAAAAAAAAAAAAAAAAACTTTTTTACAGGCCCAGCCGCGTTGGTGGCTGGCGCGTCCGCGTTGATCTCCTGAGAAGAGGAGGGCTGCCCTCCGTGCTCTGGCCACGTGTGCCATTAAGCGGTCTGGCTCGCGAGCTTGGAGTACCTGCCTCCGGCGTTGCAGGATCGTTCTGCGTGGTTGGAAAGTCGTCACTGGAAATCGGAGACGATGAACCGTTTCGCTGGCTGATGCCGCGGGGAGGGGGAACTTTTTCGATGTTTTTGCGCCCTTGAGGCTATCGTCTTGATTCGGAGATATTCCCTCCTCCTCCTTGGGTACATGTCGCAGCTGTTCAATGTGCCGTTTCGAGGTATTTCCGTCGTTCGTGCGAATCTCATATGTTCGATTTCCCAGAACTCGTACGACGGCTCCTTTCGACCATTTCTTGCCATCCCTGTAGTCTCTTGCCCAGACCTGGTCGTTCAGATGTAGGTGTCGTTCTTTTGGGTTGCGCGAGGCGTGCTGCTTCGCCTGTTTTGATCGCACGACATCCGTTATTGATGGTCTAAGAAGATCAAACCTTGTGCGAAATTCGTCTCCTGTCATCATTTTGGCAGGAGTTGAGCCAGTTGTCGTGTGCGGGGTTGTCCGGTGTACCACCAAGAAGTTATGGCATGCCTCTTCCATGGTCAGCCCCGACTTCAGGCTTGCGTTGACAGACTTCTTGAATGTTCCCACGAAGTTTTCTGCCGCACCGTTCACTGCGGGATGGTTCGGGGGCGAGAATGACTGCTGCGCTCCGTTTCTTGTCATGAAATCCCGGAATTCGCTTGATCGGAATTGCGGGCCATTGTCTGTCACAATCCTTTCTGGCAGCCCATATCTTGCAAAGAGCGTTAGAAACACTCTTATGGTGGCTGCCGTAGTCGTCGAGGCCATGGGCACTACCTCGGGCCATTTTGAATATGCATCAATGATCAGCAAGAAATTCTTTCCTTGAAAGGGTCCTGCGAAGTCTGCATGCAGGCGTTGCCATTTCTTTTTTGGGTATTCCCACGGTGTATGGGAACGTTGGGTGCCTCGTTGCTCACTTCCTGGCACGGCCGACAACTACGGACCATCGATTCGATGTCATGATCCAAAAGCGGCCACCACACGTAATGTCGTGCCAGTCCCTTCATCTTTGTCATTCCTGCATGACCTTGATGAAAGTCGTTCAAAACGTGTTTTCGGTACCTCGAGGGTACGATGACGCGTGTTCCCCACATTAAGCAGTCGAGCTCCACGGTTAGTTCTGTTCTGCGATGGAAGTAAGGCTTGAGGTCTTCGGAATTCACTTGTTCCGGCCATCCATCCATCGTGAGTCTTAAAACTTTAGACAACATAGTGTCCTTTCGTGTCTCTCTGCTGATCTGCTTATGTGTCAGTGGTAGTGCTTGAAACTTTTCTAGATGGAGACATTTGATTTCGTCCATTCTTGTAGTTTCTGATTTTGTAGTGCCCTTGTCAGTCATTGGGAGTCTCGACAGCGTGTCTGCGACTACGTTCTTATCAGTCGACACGTACTTTATGTCGAAGTCATACCCTGACAAGATGATTGCCCATCGCTGCATTCTTGCTGCGACCGTGCCTGGAATTCCCTTACTGGGATTGAAAATCGATACCAGGGGTTTGTGGTCCGTCCACAGCGTGAAGTGGCGTCCAAACAAATACTGGTGAAATTTCTTTACGCCCTCAACTAGACTCAACGCTTCTTTGTCAAACTGAGAGTAGTTTCGCTCACCTTTCGAAAGCGTTCTTGACATGAAGGCGATCGGCCTCCGTTGCTTGTTGGGTAGTACGTGTTGAAGTACTGCACCAATCCAATGGCTCGATGCGTCACAGTGTAGTTCCAGAGGAAGCGCAGGGTCATAGTGCACTAGCAGACTCTGCTTGGTGAGTTGCTTCTTCGCTTCATTGAAGGCTCTCTGGCGCGATCTCGACCACTCCCACCTTTTATCTTTTCGCAGCAGTTCATGTAGTGGATGTAAGATGTCGGCTGCGTTGCTGATGAACTTCCCGTAGTAATTCAGGAGTCCTAGAAATGCTCTAAGTTCTTTTTGGTCTTTGGGCGTCTTCGCTTGTAGGATCGCATCCACCTTCTTGGGATTTGGGTGGATTCCTTCTTTGTCTACAACATGTCCTAAGTACTCGATGGAGTCTTGCATGAAGCAGCATTTTTCTTTTCCCAAGCGAAGGCCACTTTCCTTGAGTTTTTGCAGTACGATGTCCAGGTTCCGCAGGTGATGTTGATCGTTCTTGCCAGTTACCACGATGTCATCCTGAAATGCACCTGTGTACGGCAACTTTCCAACTAGTTCTTCCATGACGCGTTGGAAGATAGCTGATGCTGGAGTCATTCCAAATGGCACTCTGTTCACCTGATAGAGCCCTTTGTGTGTGTTGATCACAGTGAGGCCTCTGGATTCTTCCGCTAAGGGGATCTGGAAGTAGGCTTGTTTACAATCCAGCTTGGTGAACTTCTCCCCATGAGCAATCTTCACAAGGAGGTCTACAGTCTTTGGTAGTGGGTACCTATCTGGCTTCAAGGCTGGGTTGAGTGTAACCTTGTAATCCCCGCATATGCGCACTTGTCCGTTTGCCTTCATCACTGGAACGATTAGAGTCGCCCACTGACTCCTCATCACAGGAGTGATTATGTGCTCTTTCCCAAGACGATCCAGCTCCTCTTTGATCTTTTGTCAGAGGGCGTTTGGAACTGACCTTGGTCTGAGAAACTTTGGTTGAGCATCATCATTCACGCAGAGTTTCACGGCGTAGTCCTTCAGTTCTCCCGAACCTTCAAAGATGGAACTGTGTTTCTGTAGCACACCTGTGACAGTTAAGGTTTCTGCATGCACGTTGCGCACTTCCTTCCAGTTCACTTGAAAATCCTGAAGCCATGCTCTTCCCAGTATGGGAGGTCCCTCATTCTTCAACACTTGGATTTCATGACGCTTGACTTGCCCGTTGTACCGCATCTCCACTTTAACCATTCCATCTGGAACGATGGGCTTGGCGGTGTACTGCTTAAGCGTTATTCCCGAAGGTTTCAACTGGATGTTTGGAAGAATTTCTTGAAACGTCTCCAGGTTGATCACAGTCACGGGTGGGCCTGTTTCAATCTCCATCTGAAGAGGTTTGTTGGAAATCTCCACAGTTACTGTGATGGGTTTCGGGTAGCTTGGGTCGATGAAATAAAACGGAGTTTCGTCTCCCGAGTTCTGAGTAGTGACATGGTTGGTGAAGTTTGGCTTGTCCTTTTTTCTTGAGTCTTGTGGATCTCGTTTCCTGTCGCGACAGACCAATTGGAAGTGTCCTGCTCTTCCGCATTTTTTACAA